TAAGCATTGTCCCAACAGCACGATTCACATTGCAAATGGTTGTTTCAAAGTATACAGGAAGAGACTTTTCAATAGCAGCCTTGGACAGAGAAATTAGTTTGTGGTCAAGAGCCATGTCCAAACCATGATCCTGTTTCTGGACACAATATTGTGCAGCATCAGGCCGAAGGTCTGCTGCAGGTCTAAGTAATAAGGATAGATCAATGTTATCAAGCTTTTCATTGTTTCTAGTCACTTCTTTATCGACTTCAAGCATATCTGAACGACCAACCATCTCATTTAAAGTACGGAAACCAAGCTGTGACATTATTTCTCTCAATTCTTCTGCTACCATAAAGAAAAAATTAATGACATGTTCTGGTTCTCCTGCAAACTTCTCACGAAGTACTGGATCTTGGGTTGCAATGCCAACAGGACAGGTATTCTTATGGCACTTCCGCATCATAATGCAGCCAAGAGTTATGAGGGGTGCTGTGCTGAAACCAAACTCTTCTGCACCCAGAAGTGCGGCTATGGCAACATCTCTTCCAGTTTTTAGTTGGCCATCTGTCTGAAGAGTTGTGCGACCGCGAAGATCATTAGCAACCAAGGTTTGATGCGTCTCAGCCAAACCAAGTTCCCACGGAAGCCCAGCATTCTTAATACCCGTCCATCTAGAGGCCCCTGTGCCTCCATCATGTCCAGAGATTAACACATGGTCAGCATGCCCCTTCACAACTCCACTAGCAACTACTCCCACACCTACTTCAGATACTAACTTTACGCTAATTCGAGCTGTCGGGTTAGCATTCTGCAGATCAATGAAATAGAATTATGATCCAAATAAAACATGCATTTAGTAGTAGTAGTGAAACAGGGAAGTGGGAGCACGGAAATAGCGATTACAATAAGGGAACATACCTTAAGATCATGAATTAATTGAGCAAGGTCTTCAATCGAGTAGATATCATGATGGGGAGGTGGACTGATAAGACCCACACCAGCAGTAGAATTCCTTGTAACAGCAATGTCTCCAATAACCTTGTGCCCAGGAAGCTCACCTCCTTCACCAGGCTTGGCCCCCTGTGCAACAAATAAATTCAGTTAAAATTCAGTTAGGTATCAATTAACAG